TTTGGCGGGTCCGGGCTGGGGATTCGAACCCGCCACCTTAGGTGTACGTGGCTGGCGCCTTAGCCGGTTGAGCTATAGGTGCCGAGCCAGCCCTTCCAGTCTTGTCTCTCCTTCCTCTCCTCATGCTCAGGTGATCCTGAACTACTCTCTCTGCCCCTCAGAGATGCCCTACTTTCTTTCACTTTGAGGACTTTCCACTCATCTTTTCATTTCTGCTCTGTAGACCACCTTTGCTAACTCCTAAGCCAACACTTTAAGAATGAGTAGGTATTATCTTCTTTAGCAAAACATCATGCTTTTGGATTATGTGCCCCACCCCCATCTTGTATATTCCCACAGCACGGCATTCCCCACTGGTCTATAGCTCCATGGAGACAGCAACACATCTGCTTTACTGGTATATTCCCAGGGCCCAGCATTGTGCCCGATACTTATGAGACATATTTTGAATGAATGAACAGCTGAATAAATATAAATCTGTCAACACTACCAGAACACAAAGCTCATGTACATTCATGGAACAGTATCCACAGAGAGTACCTGTCCCTTCCCCACAATCACCTTTTACCCAACATCATTTTAGTATCTTGTGTTTTCAAGTCTTTAAGGGAAACTAACAGTAAGTTCATAAAAACTTAGAGAGTCAATAACACCACTACTTAGCCTCAAATTTCTCACTTGTAAATAGGATGGTTAAAATCAGTGTCAAAGTGCTTTTGAAACAGCAATGCATTATGTAACTGTGAAATGATACGAATATTCAGTGAAAGCTTGAAGGAAGTTTTTCTAGTATAGAACCACAAGTGCTAAAGGTGACTATGTTATTGTGATTCTGCCAGTTTTCTAGCTGCTTTCCTTTCTTTTTCTCCAAACAGCTATCAGTTAAAAATGTCTTCACAGATGTCTTCCCAGATTCATTATATTTCACACTGCCTTCCCATTTTTCAACTGTGAGAATAAGTGGAAGGTATATGTAACTGTTTTAAATGGGCAAAGGTGATGTCTTTTTTTTTTTTTTTTTTGAGACAGAGCCTCAAGCTGTCCCCCTGGTAGAGTGCCATGGCATCTCAGCTCACAGCAACCTCCAACTCCTGGGCTCAAGCGAGTCTCCTGCCTCCGCCTCCCAAGTAGCTGGGACCACAGGCGCCCGCCACAACGCCCAGCTATTTTTTGGTTGCAGCCGTCATTGTTGTTTGGCGGGTCCGGGCTGGGGATTTGAACCCGCCACCCTAGGTGTACGTGGCTGGCGCCTTAGCCGGTTGAGCTATAGGTGCCGAGCCGTAATGTCTTGTAAGAACTAAATATGCTCGGTATTTCAAGGGCCATTTTCAGAAGTGAAATGCAAAACATCTCCCTTCAGGTCCCAACTTTTGCCTATTGGTGTTTATTTTTTTCTATGTGGATTGCCAAGAGTTATATTCATGATGGATATTAAAGAATGAGTAGGGGTGGCTAATAATATAGCATTTACTTGTGCTGGGCAAACTCCTCAAAATAACTCGGGAGGTAAGCACTAGTATTATTATGCTCATTCAACACAGAGAAAAATCTATCTTAGATGTAAATGGTCAGGGAGCTTTTTTTGTCTTTGTTTTTTTTTTTTTTTGTGAGACAGAGTCTCCAAAAAAAGACTCGCCCTCCGTAGAGTGCCATAGCATCACAGCTCACAGCAACCTCACACTCTTGGGCTTAAGAGATTCTCTTGCCTCAGCCTCCCAACTAGCTGGGACTACAGGCGCCCGCCACAGTGCCCAGCTATTTTTATTTTATTTTTTTATAGTTGTCATTGTTGTTTGGCAGGCTCTGGCTGGGTTCAAACTATCCAGCTCTGGTGTATGTGGCTGGCACCCAGCCATAGTTAGGGAACTTAATCTTGCAATTGTAATTTTTAAACCTCTCAAAAATTGTTAATATAAATAGTAGATGTTTATAAGTTCCGCGTTTCAAATTATTTCATTCATCAAACAGAGATAGTGAGCTGCTCCTAAGGGCTGAGGAAACAACGAAGAAGAAAGCAAAGTTACAATTTAATGGGGAAGACTAATGAGCGAGTCATTAAATAAATGGCCTGAAGTGGGCGAAGTAACTGTTGCTCTAAGGTGGCCAGAGTGCCTTCAAAAACAACTTTTTTTAAAAAGATTTTTTTGGGAATAAAAAGTAAAGTCCCAAACAACCCTAGGAAGGACAGTTTCCCCCACTACTGTTTCATTATTTTACAGCTTCTGGGTAATGCTTGGGTCATTGCTATCCCAGCCTACATTTTATACAAGGATAGAGCAAGAAGTTCCTGCTACTATACAAATGGAAAAATGTGGGGCTTTTTTCCCCCTCTTTTTATTTCTGGAGGGGAATGAGGATTACAAACTGAAAAAAATATGCTTTAAAAAAGATTCTTTTATTTCAAAAGAAATCCTGCCCCGGAACTGCAGTTTTTCTGTAGCTGACCTGGAATCGTTCCCCGTCCTCGCTGCAAGCGGCTTCAAGGTAACATGGGAACCTCCCCCCCTCTTATCCACCTCGAGGCCAGCACTGGTGATAGCTCAAAGTGTGCCTCTTATGGTGAGGGCTATGGCTTAGGCCCTAAAGTCGCCAACGAGCCCCACCTGGAGATTGCGGTGTAGCAGCACCGCGCCTGCAGCCCGAGACGTCCCCTGCTTCCTCCGCGGCTCCAAGGGACCTACGCCTAGGTACGCGCTTCCAACCTAGAGCGCCTTCCCGCTCCACCCCGCCTTCTCCTCCTCGAGCCCCGCCTCGAGCCCCGTCCCCGCCTCGAGCCCCGCCCCCGCCTCGAGCCCCGCCCCACCACGCCCCGCGTTCCCCTCCTCAAGCCCCGCCCCTTCCCGCCCCTTCCCGCCCCACCCGGCGCTGCGCTCACTGCTTGGAGCCCCGCCCCGCCTCGACTGTGCCGGGAGCTTCTCGCGTCGCCTGAGGCCCCGGGGCAGGCTTCCGCGGTCGCCATGACGGCGGCAGTGTTCTTCGGCTGTGCCTTTATTGCCTTCGGGCCTGCGCTCGCCCTCTACGTCTTCACCATCGCCAACGAGTCGTTGCGCATCATCTTCCTCATCGCTGGGTGAGGCGGCCGCGCCGGGAGACCCGGACGCCCGGGCTCCCTTTCCCCGCTGGGGGTACCGCGACCAAACGGCTCGACCGTGTTAGATGTTTGGACGGGTGGACGTTTGAGAGGGGAGAGCGGAGACCCTGCTCCCCCGAGGCTTTTCGCCCCCTAGGAAGGAGCTCGCACTGTGGATCAGAGCCCGGTGCTTGGCTTCGGAGGGCTTTTGCCCAGGGTCCCGGGGTGGGATTTCGTAGAGCTGCCAAAGTTGTATGACAAAATTATGGATGACTTCATACGTACATCCTTCGTTTTTCTGGAGAGGGAGTCCCTAATTTCCCTCAGATTCTCGGAAGCATCTGAAATCCAAAAAGGGTTAAGAATCGTTGGCCTTAGGATAGTATTTCTCTTGCCCTCTCCCAATTAGAATTACCCGGGGCCGGGTGCTTTAAAACATGCTGATGTCTACCACCACCACCACCCGCCCCAGATCAGTTTAATCAGAGTGTCTGCTGTTTTTTTAAAGCTACTTTTAGATGATTCGGGTGTGCAGCAAAGGGCGAAAACCTTCTCAAGCAGGTGTGCATCTTCACCTAGCAGCTTAACAAATACCGAACTCGGGTGGCCAGTGTGGTCATTCATGATCCCAGTTTTCATCTTCTGGCAGCTTCTTACTGAGTGGACATGCCACGTCTCTTTACACCAGCCGAGGCTAGTGGTTCCCACTTTTTCTAGCTACTTCATCTCCCACCACTGTATTGAAAATGCTGCATCACATGTTATTTTAAAAACAATAGAGATTTAAGATAAAGGTTTGTAAAACTTGCTATATAATCATTAGAATCCACAGGATTGTTGTAAGACTCTAGTCTGAACTAGGTCAGAGCACTGGTTTTCAGCTTCTTGATTTTATACCAATCCCTGCATTAATAGGGATGTGGATTTTTTTTGGAAAAGACACAGTTTTGTTTTTTGCAGTTATTTGACCATTAAATCCATAATATCTGGTAAGGTTTTTGTTTTTGTTTTTTGAGAGAGTCTCAAGCTGTTGCCTTGGGTAGAGTGCCATGGCGTCACAGCTCATAGCAACCTCAAACTCCTGGGCTTAAGTGATTCTCTTGCCTCAGCCACCCAAGTAGCTGGGGCTACTGGCACCGGACACAGTGCCCAGCCATTCTTTGGTTGCAGTTGTCATTGTTGTTCAGCAGGCCCAGGCTGGATTCAAACCCACCAGCTCCAGTATATGTGGCTGGCACCCTAGCCACTGAGCTACAGGAGCTGAGCCTCTGGTAGGTTTTAAGGATATGAAAATTACAATAGTCACAGGTTATGTATTTTATTGTTTTGGCACATTGATGGGTAAAGCATTGATGGAGGAGGAGCCGTTAACTACGTTTATAGCTATACAGTTCTTGGCAGATAGGGAAGTAGAGTCATTAAAGAAGAGTAATTTTGTTGGAAAATCTCACATTCCTGTTGAATGACATGTTTGTAGTTTTGCATATAGGAAAATTAAGGTTCTTCATGACTTTCATAGATACAACCAAGATAGAACTTTAATACCTTTTATCATAGGCTTCTGATAATTCTTGGTAATATGCTAGCTTCTTTATTTCTTGCTAATAGCAAATATTAAATTCTGTTTTCCCTAATGGAATTACAAATTGAAAACCAGGAAGCCAATGGGGAAATGTACCATTGATGAAGAACTGCTGATCCACAGCATCACTTAGGAGGACTTTTTTTTCCTTATCAAAAAGTCAGGAAATCTGTTCCTTTTCAAGCAGGGATTTTTCACTTTTGAATCATTATTAATCTTGTACTTATGTTCCCTTGTAACTTTCCCCCCCCTATTTTTCAGAGCTTTCTTCTGGTTGGTGTCTCTACTGTTTTCATCCCTTGTTTGGTTCGTAGCAAGAGCCATTACTGAGAGCAGAGAGGAACCAATACAGAAATATCTGCTGATCTTTGGTGTGCTGGTCTCAGTCTTTATCCAAGAACTGTTCCGGTTTGCATATTATAGACTTTTAAAGTAAGTTAAAGTTTGTGTTACCTTTTCTCCCCACTTAGATTCTGAGATGCAATTTGGTCATTTGAACCCTAAATAGAATATGGTATTTGAGGACCCATATGAGAACTATTTTCTACGTAGTTCTAAGCAGAGATTAGTACATTTCCAGTCTGAAAATATTATGTGTTCTTTTAACTTGTAGACATTTCTCCCTCTATAACTTACTTCCTTGAAAAAATAATTAAGAATTTATGCAGTGCCAGACACTATCCTAGGCACAGGTGATACATCAGTGATTAAAAAAGTCTCTGGCCTCATGTGGGAAGAGACAGAAATGAATGAACAAGAATTGTAGTATATATTAGAACATAAGTGTCACAGAGAAAAATAAGCTAGAGAGATGGTCACTGCAACAATGACAGAAACCATCTTAGCTTAGAATTTATACATGCTTCTCTTTGCCACCACCTAAGATAAAGAACTTTTATGGAAATCATGCTTTCCATTATTTTGACTGTTTTAGGGGAATGTGGGAGTTCATTTTGTAATATTTCCTGTAGTTTCAAATCTATAATTAAAAAATACTTTCAAAAAGTCTTAGGTTTCTTTTTTTGTGCCAGAAAGTAGGTCTTCTATAGGACCCCTGAGGACCTCACATGAAACTACTGATTTGAAACATAGCTTGAACTGTATTTTCTTTCATGCAGTCAAGGAATTTGCTTCGATTACGTAGTAGGACTTAGCAGAGTAATAAATGTGCCATTCTTTTTCATTTCTGCATATAGGAAAATTAAGGTTCTTCATGAATTTCATAGATACAAACAAGACAGAACATTAAGACCCTTTTCCATAGGCTTCTGATCATTCTTGGTAATATGCTAGCCTTTTTTATTTTTTTTGCTTATAATAGCAGATATTGAATTCTATTCTCCCTAATGGAATTACAAATTGAAAACCAGTAAACTATTACTTAGAAGCAAAAGTCATAGGAAAGGGTTAAAAATGAAATTCCTATTAATCCCTGGAAATATTAAAGAGCAACAAGTATCAAGTGTGTTAACTATGAAATTTCTGCAGGAATACAACATCCCTAACATGGCCATCTAGCTGTGGTTAAATATTTCTGGTATGTGGTAATTACTACTATTCTGTGACTGTAATTTTAACTGTAGAATATTATTAAGGTAATCAAAATCTCCCTTTTTCTGATCTCTGCCCCACTTATGAGGTAAATGAAAATCTGTCACATGTTTATCACATTCCTCATTTCTTCACTGGACCTCAGAAGGCATGGTTGTGCCTTCCAAACCCTTCCACAAGCAAAGTCTATACTTTTTTGTCAGGCAGCATGTCTCTTTTTGTCAGTGCCTAGCTTCTGCTCAGAGCCCAGCACAGTATTCTGCAGTGTGGTCTGAGCTGTGCCCTAACAGGCCACAATATCCTTAATAGCTTCAGATTGCACTGGGTTTTCATGTCAGCAACATCATTGGCTCATACTCATTTTCATTTTCATGCAATGGTTCTCATGTTTAAAAGCATGTGATTTCTAATACAGAGTATCAGTTAAGGACAGGGGTTTAATAACCCCTTAAGACTTGGACATTCTGATACCTGACTTATCTGGAGTGATTAAGTGGATATCTTCTGTTCTTTACTGCCTTATTTCTTGGTTGTTTCCGCTTAAAATGTCTACCTTTGCTTGGCACTAGCCTTTGGCTTCAAAGGACTGTAAGCTGACTATGGGTCCACAATTTTAATGAGGACAGGAAGGGAGTAGAGCCACGTGAGGATGGAATGTCAGTCTGTAGGCTCTTATGCTAGGAAATTCAGAGAAACCTCTTTGACCTTCTGGGGAAACCATGTTTGGTTCTCTGAAAGGACCTTTGGAAATTTTCATATAGCTGGTAGGACAAACCTATACTAACAGGTACCTCTGTTACAGGATAAAACACCTGATGCGCCTCAGGATGCATCTTTGACAAGTCTTTAGAATATTCAAAATTTTCCTAGCAAATTTTAGAAATGTTGGATGTTATGTGGTTGTGTTAAAACAAGTTTGAAAACTTACACTTTATTTATGACTAACATTATGTGGATACATTTAAATTATTCTCTTATGCTATACTACATTTAAATATAGGGACTTTGGTTTAATCAGTATTTTATTTAGGCTTGGCACAGTGGCTTATCCCTGTAATCCCAGCACTTTGGGAAGCCAAGGTGAGAGGATCACTTGAGGCCGAGAATTCCAGACCAGCCTGAACAAAATAGCAAGATCCTATTTCTGCAAAAAATAAAAAAAAGTAGCTGGGCGTGGTGGTGTATACCTATAGTCCTAGCTGCTTGAAAGGTGAGGCAAGAGACTTATGCTATGGTGGCATAGTTCACAGCAACCTCAAATCCTTAGGCTCAAGCAATCCTCTTTCTTCGTTGCCTCAGCCTCCCAAGTAGTTGGAAATATAGGTATGAGCAACAATGTCCAGTCAGTTTTTCTTAGAGACCCTCTCTCTTTAAAAAAAAAAAAAAATTGTTTATCCACTGCCAAAGTAGGTTTTGAACTTGTAAGTTTAAAGTTCTGCCTTAATAGCCAGGCATTATGGTGGGCACCTGTAGTCCTAGCTACTTGGGAGACTGAGGCAGGAGGATTGCTTGAACCCAGGAGTTTGAGGTTGCTGTGAGCTAGCCTGATGCCAAGGCTCTGTAGCCTGTGACAACAGAGTGAGACTCTGTTTCAAAAAAATCATAAAGTTTTACCTTAACCAAATTTTTGCTATCTGAATTTGATGCCAAGATTAAAATTCTGAGGACTTGGACCAGTTTTTTTTATAAATCGATAGAATTGAATAAAAACATCTGTCATTGAATCTAACAAGAAGTTTATTTCATGGATCAGGACTTGGGAACAGTCACTTAATCATGAATGAATAGTAACTTTCTGCCTGGCAGAGCCTTGCCTAGTGAGAAATTGGCATGTAACTGCAAGTGGCCTTTCTACTGTAATTTTCTTTTTTTTTTTTTTTTGAGACAGAGCCTCAAGCTGTCCCCCTGGGTAGAGTGCTGTGGCATTACAGCTCACAGCAACCTCCAACTCCTGGGCTCCAGCGAGTCTCCTGCCTCCGCCTCCCAAGTAGCTGGGACCACAGGCGCCTGCCACAACGCCCGGCTATTTTTTTGGTTGCAGCCGTTGCAGCCGTCGTCGTTTGGCGGTCTGGGCTGGAGATTCGAACCCACCACCTTAGGTGTACGTGGCTGGCGCCTTAGCCGGTTGAGCTATAGGCGCTGAGCCTCTACTGTAATTTTCTTTGAGAATCTGAGTTAAGTTGCCTAAAACAGTGTAGGCAACTCTGCATTGCTTGAAACTTCTACATGTTGCCTAAAGCAGAGTTTTTTCTGTTTGGATTAAAACTTTTATAATTTAATTTTGTCTTATGATAAATATTTGGTAATTTTAGAAAATCATCCATTTATAGAAAAATGTTAAGATAACCATTACTATAATTTTTTAGGAGGTATATCTATTTTTAAAAATTACTAACATTAAAAAAAAATTCCTAACATAGCATATTTAATTTGTATGCATATTCCTGGATACTTTTCCTTTCTTATATACCCATTCAAGAAAGAAAAGAACAAATAGGAAAGGTAGTATAATTTATCAGTAGTTTTTCAAAGTTTCTATTTTAAAAACTGAGGTTCTTTTTCTTTTTTGTTCTCAGAAACACAATAATGAATGCAAACAAAGAATTTTCCATTTCAGTAAAACAGAAGTGAACATGAAAACTGATGTTTTGTACTTTCTCACTTCCTGGTGTTAACATTTAGAACTGTTAGTGTCATAACCTTTCCTCCCACAAACTCCTATAACATCAATGAGGAAGTTTCTTAAACTTCTGAAATTATGTATTTAATATATTTGTGATAGCAGTTTTGCTGTAACAAATAACTAACATCTTCTATTCTTCTATTTATTACTTCTGTTTATTATTGAGCAATTTATATACAACAGAAATCCTCCAGAATTTGATTCTACTATATTGCTGTGTTTTTTATGGAGATTATTACTATTTTATGTGTTTCATAAGCTTTAGTTATCCCCTTAAACTATCATCACTATGATAGGTAAGTTTATTTTACTTAGGAAAATTGGACATTTTAGTTTGTTACTGTTCCAGGGAGAGAAGATAGTCACTTAAATTTCTGACTTGTGTCCCTTCTACCAACAATACTTTCAAATGGAGAGCACCAAAATGGTGAATCGTTTCTTTAGAGTCTAGAAAAATAAAGGACATCTTATTATTATCTTGGTTGAATTCTACATTGTTTTAATTTAATGTAATGGTATTTATATTTATGTAATGAATAACCCAACTATAATGAATGTGCATACCCTGAAATTTAAAATAACACAATGCCCAGATAAGAAATATGTCTTGGTTATTTTGTCTATTCTTAGAGTTAATCTAAATCTTTTGTTTCAAAACTTGCTGAAAAAAATCATTCTAAGGTGTTCCAGTTCTTTTATTGCCTTAATGGATATACTTTATAGTAAATACAATTCAAATATTCTTTGAGTCAGGATCTTACAATTTTGCAGAGTTTTCTTTCTAACAGGGTATTGGTAATAGTGATGGTAGTGGAACTGACTAGCCACACCTAGCATTCCTAACACATCTGCATGGGGGCTGGGGCTCATGGTAAATTTGTGAACTGGCCGGCGTCACTCTGGAGATCATTTCTTGTTGCGCAGTGTTCCTTTCCTTCAAATACATATTTATCTCCTGTTTGAGGGTAGCACTTTATCTCTGAAGCCTAATTGGGGATATAAAATGAATATGTAAAATATTTGAGAATCAAAAGATCATATGATTGAGTACCCACATGAGAGTTCACTTCATTAACCTTATAGGATTTAAGGTTAAGGAGAGATCAGTGATTACTAACCATGGAGAGAGGCACCTTTTTTTTTTTTTGACAGTTTCACTTTGTCACTCTCAGTAGACTGCCATGGCATTATAGCTTACAGCAACCTCATACTCTTGGGCTCAAGCAATTCTTTTGCCTCAGCCTCCTGAGGAGGTGGGAGGGATGATAGTGCCCACCACAATGCCCAACTATTTTTAGAGCTGAGTTCTCGCTCTTACTCAGACTGGTCTCGAACCTGTGAGTTCAGGCAATCCACCCGCCTCCACCTCCCAGAGTGTTAGGATTATAGGCTGAGCCACCAAGACCAGCACCTTCTTTAATAAATTGCTGCCTGGACTAGATTTTGAGGGATGAGTTCAATTTTGGTTCTGTGGAGAGGAGGTACAAGGGAAAGTAGGAGAATAAGCATAGCTCCAGTAGAAGATAAAACGAATGAATGAAGATATAGTACTTTGGGAAGAGAAACAAAAATTCAGAGTGGTAGATACCATAAGATAATTAAATATTTACTAAGCTCAGAAAGTACTTGAAAATATTTCTTTTTTTCTTATTAAACTCAATTCATGATGGCTTGTTTACTTAATATGTTTCCTTTATTTTTCTTTTATGTGGAAGTTATAAAGGCAAATGTTAGTTGGAAATTTGGGTTTTGTTTACATGAAATCTAGATTTAGAGTATAATGTTACCTGATCCAAAGCCTCAGGTATCTGGATTTGCAGTATCTTGTGTACTTTCCCAGTATACTACTTTGATGTACTGCTTTTCTTCTTTTCCCTTAATTATATGTGTGGTTTTATTTTAGAAAAGCCAATGAAGGTTTGAAGACTATAAACCCAGGTGAAACAGTACCATCTATGCAGTTACTGGCCTATGGTAAGTTAGAACTGCCTGGTGTCATAAGAAAAAAATTAGAATTGGCATAAAAGTCATTTTTATCTCTTGTATCTTTTTAGATTTCAAATTGTATTTTATTACTGCTTTGGTCTATTGGTGTACATTATTATTACCATTCTCTGGGTTCCTTATGTAAAGGATAGTGATTACACATGACCCTTATCTGTATGTCCATTAAGTATTAACCAGGTTTGAAAGTTAGGGGTTTTTTTTTAATTTCCTTGCTTATTTTTTATTTTTATTTCTTTGCTTTTGTTGTTGTTGTTGTTGTTGTCATTGAGACAGAGTCCCACCCTATGCCCTGAGAAGAGTACAGTGGCTTCATAGCTCACTGTAACCTCAGACTTGGGCTGTGGGCATCCCGCTGCCTCAGCCTCTGGAAGCCGCTGGGAATACAGGCGCTTGCCTCGGCACCCGGCTGGGTTTTTTCATTTTTTTTAGGAGTTGGAGTCTCACTCTCACTCAAGCAAGTCTCCAACTCCTGAGCTCTAGCAATTCTCCCTCCTCAGCCTCCCACAGTGCTGGGATTACAAGCGTGAGCCACTGCACCCAGCTGAAAGTTAGATTTTTAACAAATATTTGTTCTAGTTAACTAAGATTTTCTAAGCAATGTACCTGTTGTCTTCTCTGGATGTTTACATAACTTTGGCTTTTCTATAAGGATTCTTCATATTAATGCAGTTAATAACCCTGCATATTATTATTTTAGAATTATGTGTACAGATTGGACCCAAGTTCCCAAGTTTGGCCTGGGAATTGAGTCCTCCTTAAGCTCAATTCCAGTTCTAAGCTAAACTAAAGCCAGAGCTTCAGCAGCCTATCCTCCTCTGTCACACCTGTTTCTTCTATACCTTTCCAAATCTTTTTCTCTTTTTAATTTCTCTGCTGCTTTCTGCTGTTCATTGCCTTGGCTCATCTCCCTTCTTTCTCTATTCATCATGCAGCCAAGCATGGGTTCTTTCTACAGTCAGCTGCTCTTCAACAAGAGCATATGCACCCTTTCCCCTCCAACAAAATAGTCTTAGCTACTCCTTGGAAATTTGATTTGCAGAGAAATCTTAGCAGGAAAAGTTTTTAACAATGTTTTTCTTCCTCTTTAGTTTCTGGCTTGGGCTTTGGGATCATGAGCGGTGTGTTTTCCTTCGTGAATACCCTGTCTGACTCCTTGGGACCAGGCACAGTGGGCATTCATGGAGACTCTCCTCAGTTCTTCCTTAATTCAGGTATGTGTCTCGTAGCTGTCAGTGTTCAGGCTTCTCGTCTTAATGATCATACTTATTAAAATTTACTGGCTTAGGAATTCCAGTGAATGGAAATTTATTTCATGCCTTTTTTTATTTTTGTAGACACAGTCTCACTTTATCCCCCTCAGTAAAGTACCATGGCGTCACATAGCTCACAGCAACCTCCAACTCCTGGGCTTAGGCGATTGTCTTACCTCAGCCTCCTGAGTAGGTGGGACTATAGGAGCCTGCAGTTGTGGTTTGGCTGGGGCCAGGTTTGAACCTGCTACCGTTGGTAATGGGGCTGGCGCCCTACCCACTGAGCCATAGGTGCTGCCTGCCTTTTTTTTCTTTTTGTTTTACAAAATTATTCAGCTTTTATTAATTAGCACCTTAGAGGAAACGAAGATGATAGGTGAGGTAGTAAAGCCAGGATAGCTCCCTAAACAAACGGAAAGGAACAAAGGCAGACAGGGCTCAGAAAGCCATCTGAGCACAGGGAGGCAGCACCCTTTGAGACTGGGCCTGGACCCAAGGGTGCTCCAGTACCTGGGCCAGGGGCAGCTGTTCCTGGGGCTTGTATCAGAGAAGCTTGGAGATCAGGTCCTGGGCCCCCAAAGGCATTATTTGGGGGAACCTCACATCTACCTTGAGGATGCACCTGTAGGTCTCATTGTAGGAGGTGCTCTCAAAGGGTGGACTTCCCACCAACAGCTCACAGCAGAGCACCCCAGTACACAGATCCACCTTTTCATCATATGTCCTCCCCTCGACCATTTCAGGGGGCAAGTAGTCAAGTCAGTCCACACACTGTCTTTCTCCTCAGAGAGGGGGTGTGCACAGACCAGCCAAAATCTGAATCTTCACCTCACGCCTAAAACCCAGAAGCAGGTTTTCTGGCTTAATATCCCTGTGAATCACTTTCTTGTCATGGCAGTAAGTCAGGGCATCTGTTGATTCCTCCTTTATCGTGGCTGTTCACTGCTCATCAAATGTGTGGTTTTACTGCGGGTCCTTGTACAGCTCACCCCTTGGAGCATATTCCAGAATCAGATACACACAGTGAGCATATCAAGTGAGTAATTGTACAGCATAGGATATTGGGATGTCTGACGGAAGGATGGAGGAAAGGTCATGGTTGCCCCTGAGGCCCAGCACATGATGCTATCTATCATCAGTGATTGGTCACCACACAAGTGGCAAACTATGCCGGGACCAGAATAATACAGCTCAATTTGGGAGTGCGTGAAAGTAGAACAGGGATCAGGCATTAAGATTTGGGTGCCTGACAGAGATTTACATCATGTCATGAATTCCTGGGGGTACTATGAGCAGGGGATGTAGAACTTTATTCTACACGCTCTGGGTTCAGATGTCAGAGGCAAACAGGTGAATGAGTAAAGACCTAGGGCGGGAGTCTCATGCTGAGACAGTCTTTACTGCAGGTGCGCCTGGATTTCAATTTCCCTGCGCTGCTGGTACTCCAGTCCTCCTTTCTCTATCTGTGACTTAAAAAGAACCTTCAGGGCCACAGTAAAATAGCTTTCCTTGAGCCGAGCCTGGTACACATTTCCAAATTTCCCCTTGCCTAGAGGGCGCCTGATTTCAAAATCATCAATTGTGAGTCACCTCGTGGCTGGGCTGCCAAGCTGAGCTGTGGGGCCTGCTACAGCTGGGGGCTCAGCTCTGCCTGCCTGCATCACAGATTTCGGGCAGCTCACGAGGTCAGAGCTGCTGACGCCTTTCAGAGCCCTTTGGAACTGGAAGCTCTTGTTCAGCAGATCCTGGAAAGGGGTCAGGGGGGACGTGAGGCCCAGGCCAAGTCTCTTCCAATTCGCTGGCTCCCGCAGCCTTGTGTGGGGGGTGCCAAGCAAGGGCCACTAGCTTCAAGATCTGACATGTCATGCCTATTTCATGCCTTTTAAAAACAAAATAATCTTAGGCACTGCAAAGCAAAAACGCTTAGAAAAATAAAAATTTTGGCTAGAGTGTTTTAGAACTTTAGGGTAGAATTTGGCTTACATTAAATTTGTTTTTATTTTGTGATATTAACAATGTTGCTATATAGTTGAAATTGTAAGAAATGTATTTTTAAAGGATGTGTGTTTTTTTGCTTTTATGATTTTATATTTATCTTTGGTGTAAACCCTAATGTTTAATTAATTTGTTGTTGTGGCTTTTTGGGATAGACAGTATAATTTAATCTTGAAATTGTGAAGAAAAACAGAATAATAGATGAGTTAATGTTTTTATCTAAGGATTCAGCTAAGAGGACCAACTTCAAATTGCCTTCTCATCTACCAGCCAAAAAATTGTGATGCAATGATCACAAATTTAAGAGATTTTAATGTACATAATGAATATGAGAATTTCTCCTAAATTCCACAAAAATACTCTTTAAAAAATAGGTACCCATTATTTTTAGTCACTTCCACAACAGTTATGCCATTGAAGTAGGTGACCTCACAAGCAAATTCACTGTTTAAAGTCCATGCAGAAGCTCCTCAAAGAGCTTACCCTTTAGTAGAAGAAATAAGAAAAAGAGTTTCAATGATAGTTTAAGGTAATAGTGGAAAAGACATAAAGAGGTATGACCAGTTATTTAAAAATTACTGCAGTAGATTAGAGACATCCTGCATGTTGTGTGATCCTAAGCCCAGTGAACACTTATTTACCTTTCTCAGTATACCCTTTGTTTCCATTTTTGTTCAAGTGTTGGCATCGCTAGTCTAGATTCTCACTACCCATCCCCAACTGGCTAGTCTTTCTTTGACACATTTTCCATGTGAATCCGCCCTGTATGCAGCCACCAAACTAATCTTTCCCATTTCAAAAATGTTTTGACTTTCCAAGGTCTGCAGGATAAAGTCAGGGCCCTTTAAATCTGGCTGCAAGCTAGAGGACATGAAAGTATGTTAATAGATCATATTTATTTAATGATGTCATGCAAATTATTTTCTTTTCTTTTTTTTTTTTAAGATACAGTCTCACTCTGTTGCCCAGGCTGGAGTACCATGGTGTCCGCCTAGCTCAAAGGAACCTCAAACTCTTGGGTTGAAGGTATCCTCCTGCCTCATACTCCTGAGCAGCTGGGACTACAAGTGTCCACCACAACACTTGGCTAATTTTTCTCTTTTTAGTAGATACAGGGTCTTGCTCTTGTTCTTGCTCAGGCTGGTCTTGAACTTCTGAGCTCAAGGGATCTTCTTGCCTGGACCTTCCAAAGTGCTAGGATTACAGGCATGAGCCACCATGCCTGGCCAACTTGTCTTCCTCTTAAACATTTCATAATAAGAATATTTCTGGCAAATTGTTAATGATTGATTATACTGAGTGTTAGGTTTTAAAACCAAATGCAGTATTCATAGTTCAAGTCTCTTAGTGTTCAGATGTAGCACAGTGGCTCATGACTATAATTCTAGCACTCTGGGAGGCTGAGGCAGGAGCATCATTTGAGGTCAGAGTTTGAGGCCAGCCGGAGCAAGAGTGAGACTCTGTCTCTACTAAAAATAGAAAAATTGGCTCAGTGCCTGTGGCTCAAGTGGCTAAGGCGCCAGCCACATTCACCTGAGCTGGGGGTTCAAATTCAGCCTGGCCCCGCCAAACAACAATGACGGCTACAACCAAAAAATAGCCGAGCATTGTACCAGGCGCCTGTAGTCCCAGCTACTTGGGAGGCAGAGGCAGGAGAATCACTTGAGTCCAGGAGTTGGAGGTTGCTGTGAGCTGTGATGCCACAGCACTCTACCTGGGGCAACAGCTTGAAGCTCTGTCTCAATAAAATAAAATAAAAATAGAAAAATTAGCCATTGTGGTATTAGGCACATTGTGGCCATTAGGCATTGTGGCAGATGCCTACAGTCCCACATATGTAGAGGCTGAGGCAGGAGCATTGAGCCCAGGAGTTTGAGGTTGTTGTGAGTTAGGCTGATGCCACAGCACTCTAGCTTAAGCAACAGCAACAGAGTAAGACTGTCTCAAGAAATAATGTCAGTTAGAGTTCAAAATGAAGTAATAAAACATAATCATAAAGGGGTGTTAGTGCAACAGTTCTGTTATTCCGTCTCTTATACAGCTTTTATGTATACTGCCACAGAAGCAATTTTCTTTCGATCCTCCAGTTTTGCCAGCTTCTTTCACTAGATGGTGCTAATTCCCTTCATTTCGTTCCCTTTAGTGACTTAGTATGTTTTCATAAGATACTTAAAATGATTCTTTTGGAAGAAAGTAAGATTTGCTAGCAATTTGGGGATTATATTTGTAATTTCTATGAATTCAAGGAAAAATTCAGTATTCAATAAGGTAGCTTAATGTCGTTATGGCTTAATGTCTAAGGCCAAGTTAAGATGGCAGACTGGCCATGCTGTGAATATGTACCTAAAGAATAAAAGAACAATTGCTATTTTATCATGTGCAAATTTCTGAATTGTTTTAACATCATTCTTTAAAGCAGGGACTTTGAGTTAAAAATTTAAGAAATTCTGGGCGGCACCTGTGGCTCAAAGGAGTAGGGCACCAGCCCCATATGCTGGAGGTGGCGGGTTGAAACCCAGCCCCGGCCAAAAAAAAAAAATACTGCAAAAAATTTAAGAAATTCATGTTTATTACATTTAAAAATAATGCCCCCAAATTTATATGTGTTATATTTGTGTTATATATTATTTGTAACTGCTATTAACATTTATTTAGACATGAGCTTTTGTCCCTTAGTAACTTAATATGTTAACATATTTCATCACAGATGCCTAAATAATAATCAGAATAAACAAGGAATGTAGGGGTCACTAATTAGCTTGAGTATTGCTAATCCAAAAATCCCCCCAAATCCTCCAAAATCCAAAACTTTAAATACCAGTATGATGATGACCAGCAGTCAAAATGCAGCAAAACTGTATTTCATGAACAAAATTATTAAAAGTAATGTATAAAGTTACCTTCATGCTATGTGCCAAGAGTATATGAAATGCAAGTTAATTTCATGGTTCCCATCCCCCAAGATA